CTCTTGTTGTTGTTCTTCCCTTAATGTAACTATTTTGTGAGTTATTTAGCAATTTATGTTTAGTTAGATAATTCATTACCCTATTAAAAACCATCTTCTCAATAATTTTTGCAATATTTGATATAAGTGCAATAGGCCTATAATTTGATTTAATTATTTATTTCAATATGCAGTAATCCGGCACATTCGGTAATTTGTCAGTGTGAAAAATATTATGGTGCCGGATTAACGAGCTACAGTATTTGGGCCTTGACTTTTGGCACGGATTCTTTTATATCAGATTTTAACCCCTTCACGCCCAGAATTAAATTGAAAATAATCTGCAACACCAACTTGAGCCTTAACTTGAACTTTCCAGCCTTAACATGTTTGCTACCAAGCGTCACACATATGTGACGCATGAATTTCCTTACAGGACCGGNCATCTCCATAGTGCAAGGTTTTATGAGATTTTCCGCAATTGAGTAGGCTTCATCGCGTTGAGCTATTTGATAACTGACCAAGTAAGAAGCCTCAGTTGCTTTTTCATTAATCCTAGTTAAATCCATAAACGAGCAGCATGTTATATCTTTCCTGTTTAAGTTTTCTATAATATTTTCAATAAGTTGGAATATCGCTCTTGTTGTTGTTCTTCCCTTAATGAAACCATTTTGTGAGTTATTTATCAATTTATGCTTAGTTAGATAATTCATTACCCTATTAAAAACCATCTTCTCAATGATTTTTGCAACTTTTAATATAAGTGCAATAGGCCTGTAATTTGAAAAATCATTTATTGCAATATGCAGTAGTCCGGCACATATGGTAATCTATCAGTGTGAAAAATGTTATGGTGCCGGATTAACGAGCTACTGTATTTGGGCCTTGACTTTTGGCACGGATTCTTTTATATCAGATTTTAACCCCTTCACGCCCAGAATTAAATTGAAAATAATCTCTGCAACACCAACTTGAGCCTTAACTTGAACTTTCCAGCCTTAAAAATCTCAATGTCACACCAACACTACTATCTTATATTAAAATACGTTATGACCCCACCATAGGCGTTCTTGGTGAAAAGCAGTCACATTACTAGAACGCCACCGTTGGCGCCACTGGGCGTGAAGGGGTTAAAAGAATTAACACAAAAAAGTTATTTGTCCTCTTGGTGGATTTTTCCTTCATTAATTTTTTCAGTAAATTTCAGAAAATCCCATTTGTAATCACACGTCAATATCAATAATCCCATTCGTCAGCATTGAAAAGCACAGAAAAAAAGCTTGGAGAAACGTAACTCGAGAGAAAATTCCCCATACGCCCATAATCCTCATCCTATTCCAGGACTGTAACAGGAAAATCATCAAAATTTCATCAACCGGCACTAGTACATCGACGCCTGTCCGAGTTTAGGCCGTTAAGTGATGAAATGCATCATTATTATTATATTGGTTGCTAAATTTCTGATGCGCTGAGCTACCGTGTCATTCCATAGTGGGATCTTACCTATTTCTTCTGCTGATTTTTCATCTAACATACATTTTACCATCTCCGTAGTGCAAGGTTTTATGAGATTTTCCGCAATTGAGTAGGCTTCATCGCGTTGAGCTATTTGATAACTGACCAAGTAAGAAGCCTCAGTCGCTTTTTCATTAATCCTAGTTAAATCCATAAACGAGCAGCATGTTATATCTTTCCTATTTAAGTTTTCTATAATATTTTCAATAAGTTGGAATATCGCTCTTGTTGTTGTTCTTCCCTTAATGTAACCATTTTGTGAGTTATTTAGCAATTTATGTTTAGTTAGATAATTCATTACCCTATTAAAAACCATCTTCTCAATAATTTTTGCAATATTTGATATAAGTGCAATAGGCCTATAATTTGATTTAATTATTTATTTCAATATGCAGTAATCCGGCACATTCGGTAATCTGTCAGTGTGAAAAATGTTATGGTGCCGGATTAACGAGCTACTGTATTTGGGCCTTGACTTTTGGCACGGATTCTTTTATATCAGATTTTAACCCCTTCACGCCCAGAATTAAATTGAAAATAATCTCTGCAACACCAACTTGAGCCTTAACTTGAACTTTCCAGCCTTAAAAATCTCAATGTCACACCAACACTACTATCTTATATTAAAATACGTTATGACCCCACCATAGGCGTTCTTGGTGAAAAGCAGTCACATTACTAGAACGCCACCGTTGGCGCCACTGGGCGTGAAGGGGTTAAAAGAATTAACACAAAAAAGTTATTTGTCCTCTTGGTGGATTTTTCCTTCATTAATTTTTTCAGTAAATTTCAGAAAATCCCATTTGTAATCACACGTCAATATCAATAATCCCATTCGTCAGCATTGAAAAGCACAGAAAAAAAGCTTGGAGAAACGTAACTCGAGAGAAAATTCCCCATACGCCCATAATCCTCATCCTATTCCAGGACTGTAACAGGAAAATCATCAAAATTTCATCAACCGGCACTAGTACATCGACGCCTGTCCGAGTTTAGGCCGTTAAGTGATGAAATGCATCATTATTATTATATTGGTTGCTAAATTTCTGATGCGCTGAGCTACCGTGTCATTCCATAGTGGGATCTTACCTATTTCTTCTGCTGATTTTTCATCTAACATACATTTTACCATCTCCGTAGTGCAAGGTTTTATGAGATTTTCCGCAATTGAGTAGGCTTCATCGCGTTGAGCTATTTGATAACTGACCAAGTAAGAAGCCTCAGTCGCTTTTTCATTAATCCTAGTTAAATCCATAAACGAGCAGCATGTTATATCTTTCCTATTTAAGTTTTCTATAATATTTTCAATAAGTTGGAATATCGCTCTTGTTGTTGTTCTTCCCTTAATGTAACCATTTTGTGAGTTATTTAGCAATTTATGTTTAGTTAGATAATTCATTACCCTATTAAAAACCATCTTCTCAATAATTTTTGCAATATTTGATATAAGTGCAATAGGCCTATAATTTGATTTAATTATTTATTTCAATATGCAGTAATCCGGCACATTCGGTAATCTGTCAGTGTGAAAAATGTTATGGTGCCGGATTAACGAGCTACTGTATTTGGGCCTTGACTTTTGGCACGGATTCTTTTATATCAGATTTTAACCCCTTCACGCCCAGAATTAAATTGAAAATAATCTCTGCAACACCAACTTGAGCCTTAACTTGAACTTTCCAGCCTTAAAAATCTCAATGTCACACCAACACTACTATCTTATATTAAAATACGTTATGACCCCACCATAGGCGTTCTTGGTGAAAAGCAGTCACATTACTAGAACGCCACCGTTGGCGCCACTGGGCGTGAAGGGGTTAAAAGAATTAACACAAAAAAGTTATTTGTCCTCTTGGTGGATTTTTCCTTCATTAATTTTTTCAGTAAATTTCAGAAAATCCCATTTGTAATCACACGTCAATATCAATAATCCCATTCGTCAGCATTGAAAAGCACAGAAAAAAAGCTTGGAGAAACGTAACTCGAGAGAAAATTCCCCATACGCCCATAATCCTCATCCTATTCCAGGACTGTAACAGGAAAATCATCAAAATTTCATCAACCGGCACTAGTACATCGACGCCTGTCCGAGTTTAGGCCGTTAAGTGATGAAATGCATCATTATTATTATATTGGTTGCTAAATTTCTGATGCGCTGAGCTACCGTGTCATTCCATAGTGGGATCTTACCTATTTCTTCTGCTGATTTTTCATCTAACATACATTTTACCATCTCCGTAGTGCAAGGTTTTATGAGATTTTCCGCAATTGAGTAGGCTTCATCGCGTTGAGCTATTTGATAACTGACCAAGTAAGAAGCCTCAGTCGCTTTTTCATTAATCCTAGTTAAATCCATAAACGAGCAGCATGTTATATCTTTCCTATTTAAGTTTTCTATAATATTTTCAATAAGTTGGAATATCGCTCTTGTTGTTGTTCTTCCCTTAATGTAACCATTTTGTGAGTTATTTAGCAATTTATGTTTAGTTAGATAATTCATTACCCTATTAAAAACCATCTTCTCAATAATTTTTGCAATATTTGATATAAGTGCAATAGGCCTATAATTTGATTTAATTATTTATTTCAATATGCAGTAATCCGGCACATTCGGTAATCTGTCAGTGTGAAAAATGTTATGGTGCCGGATTAACGAGCTACTGTATTTGGGCCTTGACTTTTGGCACGGATTCTTTTATATCAGATTTTAACCCCTTCACGCCCAGAATTAAATTGAAAATAATCTCTGCAACACCAACTTGAGCCTTAACTTGAACTTTCCAGCCTTAAAAATCTCAATGTCACACCAACACTACTATCTTATATTAAAATACGTTATGACCCCACCATAGGCGTTCTTGGTGAAAAGCAGTCACATTACTAGAACGCCACCGTTGGCGCCACTGGGCGTGAAGGGGTTAAAAGAATTAACACAAAAAAGTTATTTGTCCTCTTGGTGGATTTTTCCTTCATTAATTTTTTCAGTAAATTTCAGAAAATCCCATTTGTAATCACACGTCAATATCAATAATCCCATTCGTCACCATTGAAAAGCACAGAAAAAAAGCTTGGAGAAACGTAACTCGAGAGAAAATTCCCCATACGCCCATAATCCTCATCCTATTCCAGGACTGTAACAGGAAAATCATCAAAATTTCATCAACCGGCACTAGTACATCGACGCCTGTCCGAGTTTAGGCCGTTAAGTGATGAAATGCATCATTCATCTTATTCATCCTGGCGCGTCCGCATCGTCCTGCAGGTGACCACCGCGAAGGAGGCTTTAACCGCGTCTTTCGGCGTCCAATGAGGTACGGCCCCCCATTAGCAGGACCGGCCTATCTTCGCTGAATGGTCGTTTCGTCGCGCACACGCCAAAGTCCGTTTGTGGAACCGCCCATCGCGGCCTCCTCAATAAATTCCTGCGTCGCCGTCCTGCATTCACTCTGGTGGCACCGGGCCGAACTAAACAACGACGCCCGAACGCACTCGACGACCGACGATCGTGTCTCGCGATCTGTCTGCCTGCTGCGGTCGTCGCCGAACACCGAACGGGTTTCAGTTGACGGTGCGCTTTGGGCCGGTACGGTTCTGTGGCACGATTTTTCTTCGCGAGATCTTTTCGACGTTTTCGTTCGCGCGTATCTGAACCGATACGCACACGAAAACACTCTGACACGTGCCATCGTTCGGAACTCTGTAAGATCGCTCACGTTTTTTTGGACGTTCCAGAGTGACGTTTTAAGAACGAGTATGAATTCTTTTTTTAAAAAAATGGTGTCTTGCCTCTGTGGTGATTCATAAAACTGGTTAATCTGATCGAGTTTGATTCCGAAACGAGAACGTTCCAAGCGGACGGAGAAATAAGAAGTAAGTAAAAAAAAGAAGGAATTATAAAATCGTAATGGTCTTTTTACCTGCGTTTTAGGTTTATCTTTTTTATAGTATTTTTGTAAACACAAACTTGCTGTTTACTTTTCTCACGTGTTATCGCGAAGTTCATGCTGATAAAATTTATTAGTTTCCTAATTTTTTTAGAAGTCAATTATGAGAGGACTTTTTCGACAATTTCTAAATAAGCAACCTGTAGATTAATGTTTTTTTGGTGATGCTTAGAAAGTACATTATTACCCATGGAATAAATTCCACACTACAATTTTTTTATGACTCATTACTTCTTCTTATATGACTATAATAAAGTGGAAAAAGGAAATTTCGCTATTATTTAAACTGAAATGATAATCAAATTTCTCCACTTAATCAGTTTATTTTATACATTTCAAAAAAATTATAAACTGTTAAAAGAAGTATAAAACGCCATATAAACGCCAGCAATATTTCACGCGGTCATAAATCCACCTAAAAATAATCTAACGATGCAGAGCCGAGAACGATAAATTAATAACAGCGCCTCATTTATCTATTAATAAACATTGTCTCTCTGTCCAAATAAATATATGAGTCTAGGCACTTCTATAAAAAAAAAGTTATAAAAAAACTAAATAGTTAAATAGAGCAAAAAATCACTTAGCTAAATAAGTTTTAAAAAAAAATTAGTGACGTCAGAACGGGCACGTGACGTCACACCACGATCGTCTCGACGGTGTCTCGCCGGCGGCGGCGAACCGTCCTGAGGGAAGAAGAAGGTTCACGAGGCGAACAGATTATAAATAACACCCCAGACCTGTGAGTCTAAAGCTGCCGCCAAGCCAAAAAGTCCGACATCTTACGGACGACTAAAGAAACTTAGACTATCTTTTTCTTGTATATTTCATACCAAAAACTTTTTTCTGGCAAATTAACAAAGTATATTCAAAATAATTGCAAAAGATGTATTTGAAATGCATTAGGATATCCTTCTTAAATAAACTTAAACACAAAGATATTTACAGTAGTCCTTCCATTTACATGTTTTCTTTCATTTTTCAATCTCTGTTACAAAACTTTGTATAATAATAATAATAAATCTTTATTGGCGACGTCATACAACAGTATTTGCGCAAGTCAAAAAAAAGCGTATAATACAAAACATATAAAAATATATGTTTATATACATAAAAATACATGTAAAGGTGGGTTCATGCAAAGTGTTTTAGTTTTAGTCATAGTCATAAGCTTTTGCTTTAGCTGTAGTAATAAGGAAAGGAATTGGTTAATGTAATATTTAAGAACAGCGTGCCACAACCCGTGTCAAATTAAAAAAAAAAAATCGGGGGTGAAACTGTTTTGTTTATTATGAATAAAAAGAAAATTGTTGTCGCTGATAGTGTAATGTGCTTGAATGCAGCTCTATTAATCGCACAAAGATTAAGAAAGAAAAGACGACGGCGTTTTGACAGAAGACCAATCAATAAAAATAGAGAATTAGAGGGATATTATGCCACTCTGATTAGAACATGTTGGAAAAACAGGAAGACGAGCTAACAAGATTCATATTAGCCTCTGTTGAAGATACATTCTGCAGACGATGGAAAAATGTCATGCCCAACTGTATCGGGGCTGTTGATGGGAAACACATTCATATGCAAGCACCAAGCATCGGGAAGTGAGTTCTTCTATTATAAACATACCTTCAGCATTGTTTTAATGGCACTTAAAAGTCAAGTTTTAGTGGCATGTGTAGTTGCGGATTATAATTTCATTATAGCAGATATTGGAGCTAGTGACAGAAATGATGACAGCACTATCTTTAAAGAATTTTCTTTCGGGAGAGCTTTTTTAAATGGAAACATAGATATCCCTTTTCCAAAGAAATTGTCTAGAAGCAACATTATACTTCTATATTTTGTTGTGGGTGATGCTGCGTTTACTCTAAGGGAAAATATAATGAGATCATATCCGACAGCACTTAGGACTAGAAAAAAACATTTTCAACTATCGTTTATCCAGGGCAAGGAGGACCGTTGAAAATGCCTTTGGTATACTCTGCCAGCAAGCGGTGGCGAATTCTACGGAGGCCACTTATAGCTAGGGTAGACGTAGTAGAAAATATTGTAAAAGCCACAGTACTTTTACATCATTTCCTTCGTATTGAACGGCAAAGCGAAAGGTACTGTCCTCCAGGATATGGTGATACTATTCAGTCAAAGTCAGGGGAAGTTATAAATGGTCAGTGCGACCAATGCAACTGCAAAATATAGGACGGGTTGGGAGCATCAATACGGCAAGAAGGTTCCAGAAGAACAGAGACTTGTTGTGTGAATATTTTATTATTTTAACGGTATTGGAAGTATAACATGGAAATATGACCATGTATCGCGCAAAAATATTCATAAATAATGTTTTTGTGTTTAATTTCAAAACAAGAGATAAATAAAAATTTTCTATTTGATTCCATTGAAATAATTTTATTGTCGAAACAATAACGCACAACAACCTTAATACAATAAAATACAAAACCTAACTGACAAAAAAGAAAAGTGCGCATGCGTCACGTTACGACCGATTGTTTTAGCTTTAAGAAGTTAAAAGTTGGGCAACTTTTGCGACTAGGACAAAAACCATTTTAGTCGTAAGGTGTTGCACGAACAGTACTAGTATAACACCATACCTTAACTTTCCAGTCTTACGACTATGCCAACAACTACGACTAAAACACGTTGCATGAACCCACCTTAACATTACCGCTAGTCAACTAACAACATTAAGAACATCTTAAAACTACATCCACAATAAACGACGGCATAAATCCGGACGAGTAAGGCATGCAATAAGCCTATACTAGGTCATCAAAAGTGCTCAGACAGTACTCATCCACACTATAGAGGGCTCTCGCTAACAAGTAATTTTTGATTTAAAATTATTAGTATCAAGTGGTTTAATGGGATTAGGCAACAAATTAAAAAATTTAATTCCATAATAATTAGTGCCATCCCTAGCTTTTTCAGTGCGAGTATAATTAATTACGAGGTTATCATGGTGTCTGGTTCCATAATGATGGGACCTCATCATGTTTTTTAAAATTCTGAATTTTTTTTTTAATGTATAATAGGCAGTTAAATTTATAAAATACAAGGTACAGTTAAGATTTTTAACTCTACAAATTTAGTTCTACAACACTCAGAGAATTGTAAATTCGAAATCACTCGGATACATCGTCTCTGAGCGTTAAACACCCGAGCAGCATGTGCAGAATGACCCCAAGCGAGAATGGCATATGATAAGTGAGCATAAAAATATCCATAGTATGCTGTCATTACTGTATTTACTGGAACGATATCAATTAAATTTCTGATACAGTAAATAATTTTGTTTAATTTACTAGTAGTTCGTATTGCATGCTTTTCCCATGTAAGTTTACGATATAAATGAACTCCTAGATATTTGACTGTAGGGTTATCAACATTATCATTTAGTGCACGTAATGAGAAGATTAACCGCTGAGTCTTAGATTCATTTACGCTAAACTGATTAGCTGAAAACCAGTCAAAAATGCAACCCCGAGATCCAACCACCTCACTAAAAAGATCTGGCAAATTATCACTTGTATTCACAGTGGTTGTGTCATCAGCAAATAATATAATGTTCTAATTTTGAAGATAGTCTATTTTTATAAATTACTTGTTGCAATCGATTATATAAATAAGCTTTATAGCTTAACAGAACCAGCATCAAAGTCAAAATTTTGTAATTTAATTAACAATTGGTTATGAGATAGACTGCGTATCTCATAACCAATTGTTAATTAAATTACAAAATTTTTGAATGCTTTCGTAAGATCGTAAAAGGATGCCTGTACATAATGTTTGTTGTCAAAACATTCATTAACATATGAAACTAAGTTGCAAATTGCTGACGTAGTTGATTTATTTTTCCTGAAACCAAACTGTGACTCGTTTAGGAGGTTATTGGATTCAAGATACGCAATTAACTGGTTATATAAAACTATTTCGAAAATTTTACCCAAAACAGGTGTAATTGAGATTGGTCTGTAGTTTGAGACCTCATTAATTTAACCCCTTTTGAAAACACGCACCACTTTACTTATTTTTAAGCAATCTGGGAAAATATGAATAGCAATACACTGATTAATCAGCTTAGCTAAGGGAATAATAATTAAGTTTTGAATAACTTTTATGATATTCGGATTTAAACCATAAATATCTGTGCTGGAAGTATTCTTAAGAGTAGAAATGACATTTCTCAAATCGTTAGCTCACCTAGGGTTGTTGTTCTTGATAACATTCCACACAGCCCTGTGGATATTTTTAGAATTAGTAATGTATCTGCTATTTGCTACTTTTTTATTTTTAAGTATAATTTTTCGATAGTGCCTTCTACAATTCTTCACACAGTCCCAAGGAATAAACTCCGGAAAGGATTTGTTAAGATCAGAAACCAAATTAAGCAGATCTCTAGCTAGTTTAACTTCGTTATTGAATCAGGATACATGATTAGTGTCGATGTCTTTACTATCGACAATTATAGTTTTTAATTGAAAGCAAGAATTTAGAGCATCAGATAATAATTCAACAAATACTTTGAATTTAGTGTTTACGTCAATATTCGATTGACTAATAAAGGAAAAATCAATTTTCTCAACAAAATTATAAAATTTTAGAAGGCCATAGCGAGTAATTGATCGATAACTAATTTTAGATTTAGATTTAGGGTAGCAATTAGCAATGTTACACTTAAAAGAGATCGCTATGATTCTAAGGCAGCGTTTCTTAAACTTTTTGATGAGTGGTGGAACCCTTTTTAATGACCACATTTATCCTGGAACCCCTTGCATTACTCTTTTTTTTTAAACAAAGGTTTTAATGCAATGAATGTACAAATAAATAATTCTCAACAAAAATTAGAGTTATTTTAGATAATATTTATTTGATTCAAAAAGTACTTTCAAAATGAATACAAAAATTATTAAA